GAATTGTATGAACATTTCTACTAACAAAATACATGTACTCTCTCTCTCGATTTTTCCAAGTCTCTCTTAACTACCATAAGTGTCACTTGGGAGTTTGGGAAGGGAGTAGGGAGGATTCAGGGCTTAAAAGTGACACCTGAGCTTGTGGTACTTGTATAAACCACATTTTTATGTATATTTCCAAAGATGGTTGTGGTTTTCAAGTACAAAGGGAATTTGTTTAAATCACTAAGTAAGTGAATATTGTTTTATTTTCATGCAAGAATAGTAGTGGGACTAATTGGATAGCTCTGTAGAAGTGCCAGCTCAGGCACGATGTGCTGAATGATCTCCTTTTGTGGTTAGCATGAAACGTACAGCAATCAGTATGTGAAACAGGATCCCTAGGGAGTCATTGGTTTCCTTGCTCGTGGTAGCTATTTTTGTGATAACATAAGTTAAAAATGGAACCCTGTTAGATATTTATGAGAAAGAGATATTAGGACATCCTGTATGTTTAGCTTTTTTGAAAAATTGGTGAACCCTTCCCTTTCATTCGAAGAATGTAGAAGAACCTGCTTTTACTGATCTTTCAGATCACTGAAACAGGTACTTCCAGTTAGGATTTACATTTGTAGATTAACTGTGATTCATCTCTGTTTAACTCGTGGGTCAGCATTTCTTTTTTTTTTGTTACTTATTAAATAACATAACACTCACCTTTCAGTTTTAAAAAAAAATTCATACAGCAGCCTGCATTTAACGTAGCCAGTGTCACGTGGGGAATAAAGCCACTTAAAATTTAGCTGCCGAACTGCATGTACTAGCCTTTTGCATTTTATTAGATAGTTGGGTCACTACTTTTCAAGCCTCCTACTCCCTTTTATGTTTCTACTGTAACAAATAGAATGTCATGTATAAATTATTTCAAATTTGAAACAGAACTGTTGCAGAAGGTTTGGACATGATTTACTGAACAGCAAAATTATTTTTCTAATTTTAAGATTACCAGTCTATAATCAAATAATCTTGAGGGCTAACAAATCAGTCAGTATGGCAGAAAGGGAGACAACTCAGCCATTGAAATTGTGCCAGCTCATTTGAGACCCACTGGTCCAGAAGAGTGTAATAACATTTCTGAACAGGTTGGTTGGAAAATATCTAGACAACTTAGTCAGTCTGTGCTCCAGCCCTGTAATCCTTTCTTTCATATCCACTTTGAGTAATCGATCATCTGCTTCCACCACATCATAGGTAGGGAGTTCGAAGTCATTGGCACTCATCATATTTATTTAAATGGTGTCTGTGTCCCCCATCCTTTGTGTCCTCCGCTGATTGGAACAGATTTTCTTTAGCCTCCCCCGCCTTAATGAAACCTACCACAACTTTCTACAACATACACACATCTCCCCTTATCTTCTTTACTCCACAGAGACTAATTACAGCTTCCCTAAGCTAACAGTTAAAATCCCTTATCCCTACAACTGCTTAGATAAATCTCCTCGGTTCCTGTCAAGGATCTTCCCAAAAAGTATCGACCAGAAGTGGCCACAAACTCTAGTTGCTCCACCCCTCTTCTCTATTTATTTTGGAGCTCCCTTCCCCCTTCCCCCTCCCCCATTTCTGAAGAAGGGTCTTGACCCAAAATGTCAACTTTCTTGCTCCTCTGATGCTGCCTGGCCTGCTGTGTTCCTCCTGTTTGTTACCACAAATTCTAGTTGTGTCCTAATCTGAGTTTTATAAAAGTCTAGCATAACTTCCTTCCTTTTGTAATAAATGGCTCTATTTATGAAGTCCAGAGATGATACGCATCACTAACTGCTCTCTTAATATGGTCTACCACTTTTTAAGATTTATGCATCGCCCCTAGCAGAAAGATTGTGACAGCTCTTTCACAGTCTCCATCTCCATTTCCTTTAGCATCCAGGGTCAAAACAATCCAGACCAAATGATTTATCAACTTTTAAGCATTGTCAACCTTTCTGGTACAGGTTTCTTATCAATTTCCAAATTGCTACCAGCATTTTGCAACATTCTCTTAAGTATTCCAGACCTACCCCTGTGCCTGCAAGCATCAATTATGTTCCTGTCTCTTACAATCCATTATTATTTACATGCCATGAGATTATTTTTGGGTTCCCTTATTATGTTAACTGCAATTCTCTCACTTAGCCTTTGGCAGTTTTATTTTCCTCCTTTCCCAACCAACCCCAGAACCGCCCTCAGCACTTTTTTATTTGATCATGGGACATGGCATCATGCTTATTGCCTATCACTAGCTGCCCTTGAGAAGGTGGTGGTAAGCTATTGCCTTGAACCACTACAGTCCATGTGGTGTAACTAGACTCTCAATGCTGTCAGGGAGGTAATTGCAGGATTTTGACCCAGTGATATTAAAAGAGCAGTGATATATTTCCAAGTCGGAATGGTGAATAGGATGAATAGAAAAATTGCAGGTGGTTGTGTTTCCATTTATCTGCTCCTATGTCTTTCTAGATGGAAGTGGCTGTGTCTAAGGAGCATTGGTGAATTTCTGCAGTGCATCATGGAGACAGTAGCTGCAGTGTATACTGAGTATTTGTAATGAGGGGAGTGGATGTATGTGGATATGGTGCATAATCAAATGGGCTGCTTTGTCCTCGCTGATATCAAGTTTCTTGAATTGCTGGAGGTACATTCCTCCAGGCAACGGGGGAGTATTCCATCACACCCCTGACTTGTGCCTTTTAGATGGTGGCCAGGATTTCGATGTCAGCAGGTGAGTTACTCACTGCAGGATTCATAGCCTCTGATCTGCTTTTGTAGACACAGCATTTAAATGGCTAGTCTAGTTCAATTTCTCGTCAAAGATAACCCCCAAGATGTTGACAATGGGGAATTTGGTGATGGTAACATTGAATGTCAAAGGGGGATGGTTAGACTCATTTATTAGAGATGGTCATTGTCTGGCTTGTGTGGCGTGGATGTTACTTGCCATGTGTCAGTCCAAGCCTGGATATTGTCCAAGTCTGCTGCATTTGGGCATGGGTTGCTTCAATACCTGAGGAGTCACACGTCCCCCACTTCTGACCTCATGATGGACGGAAAGTCATTGAAGCAGCTGAAGATGGATTGGCCTAGTACAGTACCCTGGGAGACCACCTACAGCACAGCCATCTTCCTTTGTGTCATGTATGTCTCCAATCAGTGGAGAGTTTCCCCCCTAATTCGCATTGACTCCAGTTTTGTTAGGTTCCTTAATGCCAACTCGGTCAAATGTGGCCTTGATGTTAAGGGCAGTCACTCTCGGCCAACCTTTGGAATTCAGTTTTTATTTTGTGCATCTTTGAACCAAGATTGTAATGTGCTCAGGAAATGAGTGGCCCTTGTGGAACCCAAACTGATTGTCAGTGAGCAGATACTGCTTAATAACATGGTTGCCAACACGTTACATCACTTTTCTGATGATTGAGAGTAGACTGATGGTGGGGTAATTGTCTGGGTTGGATTTGTCCTACTTTTCCATCAGGCACTGGGTAATTTTCCACATCGGGTAGATGCAAATGTTGCAGCTGTACTGGAGCAGCTTGGCCAGAGGTGGGGCAAGTTCTGCGCCACCAAATCTTCAGTGCTATTGATGTAATGTTTTCAGTGCTATGGCCATTGGCATGGCCAGCTAAACTGCCATATAGAATGATGTAACGTCTTCTCAATGTGATGACAGGACTTTGTCTCTGAGTACTGTGCAGTCATTGTTGCCAATAGTGTCGTGGACAGTTGCATCTGTGGCAGGCAAATTGGTGAGGATGAGGTCAAGTATGTTTTCCCCCTTGTTGGTTCCCTCACTATCTGCCATGGTCACAGTCTAACAGCAATATCTTTTAGGACTTGACCAGTTTGATCACTAGTGCAATTGCTGAGCCACTCTTGGTGGTGTATGTTGAAATACTTCCTCCGCTGATGTGTATCATACACTTTCTTTTGTATCCTCATTCGCTAGCGTCCTTGTTATCCAAGGATCTCAGGCACTTGCCTTGCCCTCTTTATTTTTGAGGTGTACCGAGCCTACATCTAACACGTTCCTTGGAGATCCCCCATTGTACATTTGGAGTTTTCCAAATAGTCTTTTGATTCTACTTTACCTTGGCTAGATTCCCCTTCATCTCACTGAAGCTGGCCGCCTTATTTGGAAGTCACCTTTTAGATTATTCTTTGTTCTTCTCCATTGCTAATCTACACTTTGGAGTGATCACTGTTTTCTTATCCACATTTTCCCTCACAGACACTTGATCCACCTGGCCCTCCTCACTGCCCACTGCCAGATCCACCAAATCCCTCCTTTCTAGTTGGACTGAGAACATACTGTTAACAAAAGTTCTTCTGCATATGTTTCAGAAATGCCTCCATCCCTTGAAAATTCTAACATTTTCCTAATTAATATTTGGATAACTAAAGGCGCTTATAATCACCAAACTCTTCATGATTTTTGCACAACTATGTTTTCCCTGCAAATCTGCTGCTTGATTATATCTATCTCGCTATTTGGAGGCCTAGAAAATATACCCAAACATCATGCACGTTGTTCAGATTCACTAGATAACAACTTGCATTTATATAGCACAGTAACATATACCAACACGTTTCTCAGGTGCATTATCAAACGATTGGTACTGACATTGGGCCAGTTTAGGAAAGTTTTTAAGGGAGTTTCTTAGAGAGAGAGGTTTAGAGAGGAAATTCCAGACTTCAGGTTCACCACTAGCTGAAGGTATAGCTGCCAGTACTTGAGCAGTTATTGTCATAGATTTGTGAAAAGGCCAGAATTAGAGGAGTGGAGATATTTCTGAGGGATTTTATTGAGATTGGAAGTGTTGAGGCTATGATGTGATTTGAGTACGAGATTGAGAATTCCCCATTGAAATCAATGATATCTTGTGAATTTTTTAAAGTTTAAAAACAAACAGGAACAGTTATCTTAAATGTTATAAACATAAATTTTAAAATGACATTTTAAGGTAACAGGTGGTTGGGTTTGTAGTCATGCTTTCTCTCTTTTTAAAGACTGTAAACAGACCTTGACAATTGATAAACATCTCTTATCCATTCTGTTAAGAAGACTTCAATCCCTTATGGGTAAGAATAGAAGGGATGATAAAACACAGATGACTCAATAGAGCTTTTATTGAGCAAGCTGTAAGGGATTTTTTTCTAAAATGGAAGTTTAAAATACAGTATTGAAATGATATTAGAGTGAAGTGAGATAGTTCATTAACATTATGAGGCACAATGTGTACTTTGTCATTATGCAAACATGAAATGGACTGATTTGAAAGCTGGTCATTATATTAATGGCTGTGTGCATACTGTGAAACAAAGTAGTTTAATGCTTCGTACCTAACCTTATCACTCAGAATTATTTACTTAGTCCATCTGCTGAGAGATTGAAGAACCGTCCATTTGAATGACTTGAATATTTAGTTCAGATCACCAATGGGATAGTATTGTGATACTAATGGATTACACTATTGTACAGCTGACATTGGGCAATGCAAACAAATATAACGTTTACAAGCCATTCAGGCAATTTATAAGAGTGAGTAACATTACTCTACTTGACAGAATAAGGCAAAATCCCAATCTTATCATCATACCTTGTGGTTTGATGAAGCCTTTTAACAAGGTGTTCTGAGTGGAACAATGAATCCAATTGAAACCTCTGACTGGAAATCCAAATGTAACTGTGCATTAATCATTTAACTTTGATTTGAATTCCAATTATTCTGGAAAAGGACTCTAAGGATATTTTGAAGGTTGTGAAATTGTATGAGAATTCCATTCTGATCAGCTGACGAGAGGCAAATGCTCCTATTGCAGGTTAGTGTCTTTGAAATGTTCATAAATGGACAATTCATTTTGCAATTATCTATATTGTAAGATTTCAACCTTGCTGTGTTCTCCATGACTGCTTGGATCGTTCTCCAAAATGACTGAATGCAGGAACATGATCAGACTATATTGAACAGAATACCTTTTCTGGCTTCATCCACAATATATCATCAGTCTGAGTCTGGTAGATTTGAATATTATCTCAAGATAACCCTTCATGCATTAACTCTCCTCTGCATGTGTGTGGCTTGGGTGGATTTGCTTGTTCTTCCTCTTGACAACAAGCAACAAAAGTATTTTTGTCTCGCCCCTTGAGATTTAAAATTTCTGGAAAGAAAATGAAAATCAAAGGACAAAGAAACTTCCTTTGGGCTGCGGTTCCAGGTGAATCCTTTTCAGAGCATTACTGAGACTTGAAGACAGTGTTTAATTTGAAGATATGCCCTTCATTTTGCTGGTGAAATGAGATATGCACTTTTAGTAATTAGTGGGCAAATAATTTTGTCCGTATGAATATTTTGACCTAGTTATTGAGTCATACATTTCTTCATGCTAGGTTTGGTAATGCTTAGGAAATTCCATTTCCAACTCTTTTTACAGGAAGAAAGAATGATAAACCCTGAGAAAAAGAAGACTTGTACTGTAGCCACTAGAGATTATATTCAAACATACAGAGTCCATGTTTACACTGCTGATCCTAAACTTTTAATTGTATCATTTGTGTGTGAGCTCTGTCCATGTCTAGAGATAATAATGGACAAAGTTGTCAATTAGGTGTTTACATATTTCCATCAGATTTGACATCACATCAAGACAAGATAGTGTGACTCTAGATCCTTCCGGGAAGAAACTGCTGCTTCATTTAATTGAGGCAGTCCTATCTATATTTTCTCTCACCATTTAGTCATATTATGAAATAAAACTAGCTCTACATCATTGGCAAACTTGCAATATTAACCTACCCATAAACCTTGACCCACTTTATTTTTAGGATTTGTGAACAGCTTGCGGGCCTTTCCTCAGATATGGTCTGAGCAGTTCATTTTGTCTGTTAGTATTTCTACCAATAGGATTGGAGGGGGAGGAAAATCTTTAGGTTATACAAGTTATAAATTGGAGAATTACAAGTAAGCTAAATTCATGGATGGGAAATGACCAACTGTCCATTCAAATCTGCCATGATGGCTGGACCTTCCCACTCAACCATTCCTTTGACAAAAATACTTGAAAAAAATTTCTTTGTTCTTCCTATCAATACAGGAGAGGATTTCTGTTGCTCCATGGTACTTATTCATCCATGACCACACAAATCAGTATGACAAGGGAATGTATGCAAAGAGATATCATGTGTGAAGGTTTTAATCTTTCTGTTCAACAATAATTAATATTTATTATTATTAATTAATATTTCTAAAAAGTTTAAGACCTTGAACTCTTGCAAATCTTTGTGAGGTGGTCGCTTTAGTTAATTATGTGACATGGAATTAACGTACAATGATTTTTTTCAGAATCTCCAATCTCCATGGTTGTTTGGGCTTGCTCTTGCAGTTGACTAAAACATTTGATTTAACCAATTTAAAACAGTCGTGAGTCAGGAGGTGGAATGTGAGATGCGTGGGCTGAAATTCAGGCTGTTAGTGCAAAGAATAGATGTGGAATTGAAATGTAGAATTTTGTCGAAGTCCAATCAAGTTTAATTCCAGCCAGTTTAGATAGGTTTTATATTGTATGAGAGCTGTGCTGTTGAAATGTGGAGATCCTTCATAATGAGCAGAGGCTCACTGTTTTTACTTGTGAATAGTAGTCATTCATAAATCCTGCTTTGGTCAGTGTGGGTCAGGGTTTTTTATCACTGATCTCAAATTTCAAACTTGCTTAAACAACATTCTTGGTGTGCTTTGTTTTCTGTTGCAGAGTAAAATGGAACTAAATATTTGCATTGACTTTTCCTTCAACAGAGCGATGAGTACTTGGACTATCTTTCAGTAGAAGAGAGGGAATGTCTCATGTTTCTTGAAGAAACAATTGATGCATTAGATATTGAAGACAATAATGGGGTATCTACTGAAGAATTGGAGCAAACTAAACATTCCAGTGAAACTGAGAATATGCTAGAAAGACCTACCCTGTCACACCCTGAATTAGGACATAGTCAAGTTACAGGTAACACTATAATTTTAAACAGTTATGCGTGTTTTCATGCAATTAGTGACATCTTCAGTGTGGTTAGAAGTATATTCATTCCAGCAAAATATGACAAATTGCTAAAGGGCTGAATGGCTTCCTTTTGTGTTGCACATATCCTTTTCTGTGGTATAAAATAATTTGGATCCAGACCCTGCAGCCTGGAATAATTGCACCTGATAATTGTAAATATTATTGTCATTTTGCTAGGTTCTATACAAACTAGCAGAATATTGATTTTTGTCATTCTTAAAGGCTATTTTTCTTAGCACTATATTAAAGTTGATGAGTAAGACAAATAATTATCCTTGATACTATGATGCAATTTTTACTGTCAATGGATAATTCCCTGGCATCCCTGCTCCATCAGTTAAAGATTTTGTTCCTTGACTAATATTCTATTTTTATATAATGACTCATCCAGCATGGTTATGACTTCTGCTGATGATTTCACTTTCCCACTTCCTTTCTATCTCAAGCCTTGCTTTTGACAGCTTTCAGTTCTTGAAGGGTCCTGTTGCTCTATTATGACATCCTCATTGCCTTCAATATGGCATAAAAATCCTAGTTGTCTTGTAGGTCTACAAATATCTGGCTGATGCCACATATATCTGCAACCTATTCGCCATAGTTTTGTCTTTGTTCTTTTTACCTTGCTGATATTTGTGACCTATAAATCCTCAGATAATTTAAGTCCCCTAAAGATAATTTTCTGTTATCTTCATATCTGCAAATAAGCAATTTTGCCCTCTCCCCTTCCGGTGGTACTTGCATAAAACATCCAGCTCACAATCTCCAGCTTTAACTGGGACCTTGTCTGTTAACTGTAAATTAGTTACCGCTGAAGTTAAAAGGATTGTGCATGTCCCAAGTCCCATCCAGTACCTAGGCTAACACTCTAGTAGAGTCCTGAGGTTGTGCTATAATGATCAAAGATGCTGCCTTTTGAATGAAATGTTAAACTGAGGCCATGTATGCCACCTTAAGTGTGTACAAATGATTTGGATGGCTTTTCCATGAAGAAAAGTAGTTCCCAGAGCGTCTTGACCATCACTAATGCAAATCAAATGATCATCACATTGCTAGGCACAAATTTCCTGCCACATATCCTACATTGCCAAACTGCCCATATTTAAAAAAAGTACTGTACTTGAATTTTTTTATTCGTTCATGGGATGATTGTTGCTGACAAGGCATCATGTATTGCCCATCCCTATTCATTCACTGGTGATGAATGCTAAAAGTGATAATATGCCAATGAAGTGAACTGCTTTGCCCTGAATGATATCAAGCTGCTTGGGTGCTGTTGAGGATGTACTTGCCCAAGTACACGGGGAATATTTCACCACGTTTCTGTCATGTAGGTGATGGAATGTTTGAAGAAATGGGAAGTGAGCTATTTGCCACAAATTTCCCAGCCTCTAACTTGTTCTCGTAAGCATGGTGTTTATATAGAGCGTAAAACTGTACAGCACAGGAACAGGCCCTTCGGCCTACCATATTGATAGGAACATGACGCCAAATGAAACTAATCCTTTCTGCCTGTCCTTGGCCCATATCTCTCCATTCCTTGCTTATTCATGTACTTATCTAGAAGTCCCTTAAATGCCTCCATCGTATTTGCCTCTACCCTTGCTACCCCTGCCAGTGTGTTCAAGAATCCTACCACTGTGTTTAAAAAAAACAAACATGTCCCTCATATCTCCTTTGAATGCTTACCACCACCACCACCAACCCCACCCCCCACCCAGCCCCAACCCATCACCATAAATGCAGAATTAGACCTTTCAGCTCCAGTAAAAAGATTCTGACTGTCAACCCTATCTATACATCTCATAATTTTATAGACTTCTATCATGTCTCCCCTTGGCCTCTGCTGTTCTAGAGAAAACAACCTGAGTTTTTCTAGCCTCTCCTTCTAGCTCATACTCTCTAATCCAGGCTGCATCCTGGTAAATCTCTTCTGCACTGTCTTCAAAACCTCCATATCCTTCCTCTAATGGGGTGACCAGAATTGAACACAACACCCTAAGTGTGGCCTAACCATATGGCTGGGCTGATTTACTGTATTGAGGGAATTCTGCAATGGTGATGTTATTGAATGTTGAGGGGTAGTTAGATTTTTTTTTTTTGGAATAGTCACGTCCACCACTTACGTGATGTGAATGTTGTTGTTAGTTTATTCATCAACAAAGCTTGAATGTTGGTTTTGTTGCATGCACACCCAAACTTACTTCAGCATCAGAGGCATTGTGAATGGTACTGGACTTTGTGCAATCACCAGCAAACATCTCATCTGACCCTTTTTGATGGAAATGTCATTCAGAACCATCTGAAAATGGTTGGAACGAGGTCACTGCCCTAAGCAACTCCTGCAGTAGTGTCCTAAAGCTAAAATGACTATCTTTCAACAGCCGTGACTATCTTCCCTTTTGTGCTAGGTATGACCGCACACATTAGGGGAGTTTGTCTTGATTCTTTTTTACTTCTTTTTCCTTAATTTCCTTGATACCAAGTGTGATCAAATGTAAACAGGACATTCCTAAGCAATTATTTCATATCTTCAAATAGATGTAGGTGTTGAAGCTTTACTATAGGCATGGCTATTTATGGAGCATTAATCGTCACTATCACACCCAGGATATTGTTAGGACCTGTAGCCTTTTGACGTATCCACTACCTTCAGCTGTTTTTTAGATGTGAGGTTGAGTGATTTCAAATTTGGTGAATGAAGTCTGGCATCTGTGGTGTTGTGAGCCTTGGGAGAAGGTAGGGATATATCATTGATTCAGCACTTCTGGTTGAAAATAGGTGGCATTCTCTTTGGGACTGGTTTTCTGGTCTCTTCCATCATTGTGAAATTTTCTTTTGCAAGTAAGTGTTTAGCAGACCACCACAATTCCTGTCTGGATGTACCAGGAGTGCCATCCAATAGTTGTGTGATCACTTGATTCTGTCTTTTACAACAGCATTTCTTCTGTTTTAGAATGGATGCGCTCCTATGTAGCTTTACTGGGTTGGCACCTTTTTATATTTAAGTATGCCTCGTGCTGCTCCCGACATGCTGCCTTGTACAATAAGGTGGTCACCTGCTTGGTGCTAATGGTAGAGTAAGGGACAAGTCATGGCTCAAGGTTACAGATTGTGGCTGAATACCTTGTACTGTGAAAGATGGCCTACAGCACTTTGTGGTTGGTTGGTTGTGAGCTGCTAAATCTGTCCTTAAAGTATCCCATTTAAAACTGAGTGGTAGTGCCGCACACTATGATGGAATATGTCACACTGAATGAGGAAGACTTGCAGAGAAAAATGGAGAGGATGCGCTTAATTCTTTCAGAGCTTCGTTCAAATGGTTGGTTGGTCAATCCAGTTTAGTTCTTAAGTTTTTCTGTTGTAGCTTGGTACAACTGAATGGCTTGCTGGGCTGTTTCACAATGTAGTCAAGAGTAAGCCACACTGCTGTGAATCTGGAATTATACCTACGCCAGACTGTCAGGATGACAAATTTCCCATTATTGAAGGATATTAAAGATCAATGCAGACTTGGCGATGGCTTTGCAGAATACCTCCAGTCTGTGAGCAAACCTGACCCCGACCTCCCCATAGCCACTCATTTTAACACAGCATCCTGCTCGCTTGCCCACTTGTCTGTCCTCAGCGTGCTACAGTGCTCCAGCGAATAACTCCAAAGGGCTATGCATTAAGATGTTTAGCTGTGCTAAACTTCTAATGGCTTTGTCCAAATGCTAACAGATATTTGAAACAGCTGTTACATTTAACTGTAGTTTGAGTTTTGAATAATCGCTGAATCTGTTGAAGTTCTTCTAAGTTTGTTTTATTTTGAATTCCTTAATAGAACCTGATGGAAAAATCCCAAGAGCAGTTTCAGCAAACAAGAGCAACAGCACTGAATTCATCTCCCTACAGGCGGTGCAGGAAAATTCCGGAGCATATAAATTCCCCCGGGCAGTTTCACCACACAGCAATAAAAATTGTACTGATTCCACATCCTCACAGATGGTGCGAGCTAAAACTGGAGCAAATACCCTGCCTAAATATACCCAAAAACCTAGCGCTGAAAGCAAAAGCATGGTATCCAATCAGATATCTGAATCCAGCAGAAACCCCATTCTTTCTGAAGATACAAGACAAAGATCCAATAGTGCGATAGTTCAGCATGAATTGGTGGAATCTAACGAGGAAAAGACCAAGTTAGGACCTCCCACAGCCCCAAAACCCCGGAAACTGCCATCCAATATCATATTAAAAAGCTTCCAGAAGAATGATAATCAAATGGTACCTAATACAAACTCTCAGAATAGCTTTAAGGTGCCAAAAGGTGCTGCACGAAACAATGGATATAATTTGTCTAGGGACAACAGCACCGATGGAGAAGTAAAACAAGCAAGAATGCAAGCCTTGAGCAAGTTAGGATTGCTGTCAGAGCCAGATGGCCAGAAAAACAATTCAGCAAGTCCTCCAAGTCTGAAAACAGAGGGGACATCCATCAGTCAGACAGTCATACCAAGTAATGAAACTAAAAGGAGCCAACCAAAAATGTCAGCAAGAGACACCAACAGCCTGAAACGTCCAATTGGAATTGGGCCTCCTTTAATCCATTCAGCAGCCACTGCTGCTGATCCTGGCATGAATGGCAATGCAAATAAAACGACAAGTGTGACTGTGGGGAATGCAAATAAACTGCAATGGCAGTTGGGTTTCACAAAATCGAGCAGTTTAAAAAGATTTACAGCCAGCGAAAATGCTCCTCCAACCATGAGCTTAGGTCCTACCCGAAACAGCATGCCAACTACCACTGCCCTTAACCCTGGCATGAGCAACACACTCCCTATTGCAAGAAGACCAGCAAATGCAAGTGAGGGTGAAGTAAAAAATATAAATGCAGCACAGTGGCAGTTTGGTGCCACAAAGGCAAGTAGCTTAAAGAGGTTTGGAACAGCTAGTGACAATAACCAGCCCACCTTGTATTCTGGTGCTGCTCGAAATACTTCGATTGGTGCTGCGTCCGCATTTGCTGAGAACACAAGCAGTAGGCCCAGACCTGTGTCAATTTGCTCCGAGAAGGATTTGTCAGCCAAGCACGGATCTACATTAGAAGTTGTATCATCCAATAAACCAGGGAGGAAGTCTTTTCCAATAACAATAAACCATATTTCCGCCAAATTTCAGAAGTCTCCACCAAAGGCACTTAATGTGCAAGTTGCGCCGCCGGGACCAACCAGTAAAGACCATAGAGAAGCACTGAAAAAACTTGGCCTTCTGAAAGAATAGAAGGGAGTTTAAAAGGCTGCACAGGATCCGGTAGACTTGAGAGAGTTCCGTCAACATGCTGGGAAAAAAACTTATCTAAAATGGGCAATAACTTGCTGCCACATGAAGCCATAGAGTCATTGCAATCTCCAGCATGGGAATGAAGCTGTAGAATTAAAATGTGGTTAAAGACATCAATTTAAAACATGCTGTTTTATTTTGTGTATTTAGTTAAATTAATATAACTACTGCAATTTTTCCACCTTTTGATATACAAGGCATTTCCTGCCTGTTCATCTTGATTCATTTTGTGGAATATGACTGCCAAAGGCTTGGTACAAAATGCAAGACAACTTTGTTTTTCAATATGTGTGTCCAGGGTTGGACTTTTGCCCAATTGTTGAAACCAATAACTGAGACTTAATTAGAGATTCTATTAACTCTCTTACCAGAAGCAGACCTATTATTGTTGTCCAAGTACAACGAAAGACTTCTTTCAAGAATGTGACTTGCAGTAGAAATGACTGTTTTAAAAGGAGGACATTTTGAAATAATGACTTGTATAGTACGGCTGTTCAGAGAATTTTTGGTTTTTATTGAAAACATTGTTTTAATTATGGCACTGTAAAAGTATAATCATAAGTGCATTCTGCATTATTGTATGAGTGGAATGTTCCGTATAGATACTTTAGGTATCTCATTAGAAAAAACATTCCAGCTCTGCCCATTTATTTCCTGCATCACTTCACAATTTTGTAATTAATTCCATAACATACCATTAAATCTATTTAAAAATTGACTAGTTGTAGTTAGTTATTGTCATGTATGAATGCCAAATCTAACATGTATTAAGACATTATTTCGATATTTGTAAACAAACTAGTAACTCATTTACCTGCCAGAACTTTTGAATTAAAACATTAATTTCCAAAACAGTACTATAGATCTTCTTAGCACAAGTTCCAAGTATATTGTTTTTAAATATTCACTGCTGATTTTACATCATATATTTAAATGGTATAGAATATTGTTATGCACTGCAGAAATTTGCGACATGTCAAGACAAGGAACACACTGCTTCTGTTTTTTCATAACTCTTCTGATTTATGCAAGCCTTTCTACATGCCAGCTGCTAAGTGGACAGTAGGCCCTTCCTTTTTTCTTTCAGTGTCTAGTTTCTGTTCTCCTTGGGTCATTTCCTGTGAACTACTTGACAGGATGATATTTGTCATAACTGTATTCTCTTGTCAGCCACCAGGCATAGATTGCATTGGTCTCTTAAAGAGTTTTTAACTAAAACGAACTGCAAATTGCCTAACTCTGAGGGATATCAGCTTAACTGCTGCAAAGCACCATTGACCACAAACACATTGCATTGCTATAAATATATTAAGTTTGTCATTGGGAAGCTTCTAGCCATGTATATTGGATATATAGAGTAAAGAAATGAACCAGTTGTGAATGTACAACTCAATATTTGAAACGGAGATGCAAGAGAAAATGCTTTTAATTAAAATTTCAAGAATTGACTTGTGGGAGGAATAGATTTCTTCTAAAATTTAGATAGCTTTTCAATTTATACTATAGAAAGTTAGTGCAGTGCTGCATGCCAACAGTGAATGTTCACATTTAGCTAACCAGCTACAATGCTCAGAGTCCTTTAGTTGTGTTTGATTTAAGGTAAGAATAAGGCTGTTACAATTAGCTCTGTGCTTGAATTAGTGAGGAGAATCTAAGCCAAGACTGCTGGTTACTATCTAGCATCTCCCTGAAAGTATGTACACCTACTATAAATCAATGGCTTAGCATCTCAGTCAATATTGTAGCCTCTAGTGCAGGTGCTGATCAAGAATGAACAAAGGTAACTTAGCTGGGATTTCACAGGACAGCAACATTGAAGCGGGGTTGCCAATTCTGATTTCATCTGATGACACTTCTCCTCCAGGCTGTCACCATTGATAGCTTGACACCGCCATCTTTAAGATGCTCCGCCTTCATCTTTTGTGGAGCAGTCTCTTTATTCTCTGAATGCTTGTCTCAAACTGCCAATTTATTTTTTTCTGTAAATCATTATACAAGTGAATAGGTAAGATAAAAATGCACTTTTTATTCATTTCTGGTTTTTTTTTTGTACTGGATTGCTTGCATAGGTGCCCGAGAGACTAATCTTCCATTCCTAGAGATTCTAAGGTTGGAAGCTGAACACCAGGGAGGAATTCAAATTGTCAAAAAATGCATTTGAATTAGTTTAAAAACCAATATCTGCGCTTTTTTCCCCCCCATCTCTCTATTAGTATAGTGACCAGGAACCTTGATGAGAAGAATCAGGGCAGTCAATTTTGCATTTCAGTAACTACATCTAATTTATCTAAACTCAAAGTATCTAATTTAATGCACAATGCTTTAAGGGCTGGGAGGAGGAGGAATGAGGTGAAAGTTTAGTGATTCAGCTTTTTTGATCATGCAAACAAGGTGGTTTTCTGACAAGAATCTTCAATGTTTCATAAACCATAACTTTTGTTTAAAGGCTCTAAAAATCTCAAAAGATTACAATTACAACGTTGAGCTTTATTCAAGATTGGCCATAATAATTCACAAGAAAGGAAAATGGGGCTTTATAGATGAATGAATGACAAGTTTCAATTGTTTTTCAATGTAGCTTTATACAAAAGAAAACATACTGTGACATAGATATGATTTTCAATTTGTTATTTTGGCATGAAGTTGAATGAAGTGTATCTTGTTGTGGATCAGACATTTGTGCAAAATAAATCCCAATGGAAGTGTCACAAACAATTTGTTTTCATGTAAACCATTAGTCACGTGGCTTCTGTTTACACAATATATTGATTGAAATCATTATTCAACAAATGGGGCATACAATATTCCAGTAATAATGGGGAAAAAGTGAAAAATACTTAGTCTTCTTTATACAATAATTATATTGCCCTGTAAGTTTCACAATTTCACTAAATCAGAATTGGGAAATTGACTCTATCAACCCCCTCAATCTGAAGCAAAATGTTAACTTTTGGGGTTGAGCACATTTTAAATTCACAAATGACTTTTACAGCAGCAATCTAAGAAAATCATTTCCAAGTGTAATTTTACCACAATGAATATAGTCAAATGGTGGTCTGCAGAGATCAAATCTAATGTGATTATAAGTGGAAATTTGCCTAATGTTAAATAAATCACAAACCTATTTGGTTTGGGTTCAGTATTTTTCTATTTCCCTTCTAGTATTTTAAGAGCACTTGGATATGGGTAAATGTAAATAGTAAATGTTGCCATTAAACAAGGGTGGAACTATAATTGGTGAACAGTAAAGCTTGTTGACAGAAGATAACATGGTGGATCTAATTTCCACTATCAATGGCAAGACCTTTGTTTGAACTTGTAACTTTTCCATTGATCCTACTGTGAGGCTTGCATGGTTGAAATTAGTGACCCTATTGATAGAAAAACAAGGGTGGGGCATCCAACTATCAACAGTTCAGGCTACGCAAAAACACTATATATTTAAAGAAAGCAGGATTTCCCAGTCCTACCAACTAGTAGATGTACAGGCCAACACATTGCATAATGGGTAATTCAAACTGTGGAGGAAATTAACCAAGCCAGACAGAAATAGTTTGTAAGATAACAAGGTGTAGAGCTGGATGAACACAGCAGGCCAAGCAGCATCAGAGGAGCAGGAAAGCTGACGTTTTGGGCCTAGACCCTTCTTCAGAAAATGACCCTTCTCCAGCATCTGCAGTTCCTACTGTCTCAGAAATAGTATGTAATTGGTTTCTGCACTTGATATTTGCTTGTTATAAACTCAAACTAGGTCTGTGCTTTAGAGCACTATTAAGTCATTCCTAACTAGTAAATCTACAGGAATAAATTCAAATTAGTGTGGAATGAAGATCTTCCATGATATTATACAGCATCATAACCTACCAGCTCTTGCCTGGCTGTTGGAACCAATAACTGAGGCTTAATTAGAGGTTCTATTTACACTCTTACCAGCAACAGTCCTATTATTTTTGTTCAAGTACAGCGAAATACTTCTGTCTGAATGTGACTTGCAGTAGAAATGACTGTTTCAAACTGTCCTCCTTTTAAAACGATGCCTCGTATTGTATAAGAGATAGTAGGAACTGCAGACCCTTCATCAGAAGGGTCTAGGCCTGAAACGTCACCCTTCCTGCTCCTATGATGCTGCTTGGCCTGCTGTGTTCATCCACCTCTACACCTTGTTGCCTTGTATTGTGTATAGCTGTTCAGAAAATTTTTAGCTTTTATTGAAAACATTGTTTTAATTATGGCACTACACGTGCAGTGCTAATATTCTCATTTTAGTTGCACTGTAAGCCTGTGTATGATTACTGACTTCTGATTTTTTTTTTTTGCTTAAAACGTTTTTCCAAAATCATTTATATTGACCTAAGTACTTTAATATTTGCTTCCCACGACCAAATTACTTTGTCTTTCGTCTTTTCTCTTGCTGACATTTAAGACCTTTAAATCATCATAAATTTAAGTCTCCTAAAAATAATTTTCTGTTCTCTTAATCTCTGCCAAAAAAAGCAATTTTGTCTCTGCTCATGTCATTCGCATCTTATACACTCATGGTTTACAAATTGAACATGAGCAGTCCAGTCATTTAAAGATGCCACATCTAATGAAATCAATGAAAAATATTTCAGAACTCAGTATTTTTGATGATGTGGGCCTTGACCCATTTCCCTCTTCTGCTACCATGAGCAGTAAAATAGCAAAAAAATCCTACTTCGTGATTAACTTTTTGAAATCCAGAGAATGTTATTGCTAAATATTTACTTGATAGCCACATGCATACCTATTTATTCAGTCAATTGTTGTCATGTGAGCATTTACTGACATGGCTAGCATTTTTCACTCATCCCTAGTTGTCCAAATGAAGGTGGCAATCTTTCTGAATTACTGCAGTGCATGACTTGAAAGAGTGAGTTCCAGGATTTTGGTCCAGTAATGAAAGAGAAATAATGATGTACTTCTCAGCTAGGGTGATGTTTGGCTTGTTGGGGAACATGTGGAGGAGATGGTGTCCCTATGCACCTAAATTCCTTGATCTTCTAAGTGGTAGAGGTTGTGTCATTGGAAGCTACTGTCAAAGAAGCCAGGATGAATTGCTGCCGTGCATCTTGTAGATGGTATACATAACAACTACATTATGTCAGTGGTAGAGGGAATGAATATCTAAGCTGATGGATGGATTGTCAGTCAGTCTGTGGTCAAGTGACCACATGCCCAAGATAGGAAAGCTGGAGAAATCGGGGGGCCTGACAGAAAATTGGCCAAATGAAATTAAACAATAGCAGACACTTATTAACTGGAGAGAACAGTGGAAACCAAGGTCAAAGAGGTCACAAAGGTTTGGGGGAACCAGTTACAGCCAGCCTGAGGGTTATGTGTTGGAGAAGTTTCAATCAGACTTTCTGATAACTTCCAATCAGTGCCTGGGGACATGCACTTTACACCTTACCAGCTTGGCAATAGTATTGACATGACCCTATTGGATGCTTGAACCATGCTCACGACCTCATTGGTCAAATATTACAGAACAATCAGGAAGGTCTGGGATGAAGGGTTTGGTGGATAAAAACACACCCCTGGAAGCCACACAGTGAGTGAAGACTCGCCACAAAACTTGTGACAAGATCCAGGGAAAGTACAACCTGCCTGCAAGACCCACCTTCATGGAAGAGAGCCAGATCTATGTGGAGAGGAAGGCGATTCCAATGGCTCAACTCAAACACGTGGATTACTGTC